GTTACATTTTTCCAAGTTGCACCTTAACCAGGTGCTTTTGTGTGCAAGTTTTAAACTATCTAGGTTTTGATTTGAGGTGAAGAATCTTGGAGGTAGTCTTTCTCCTTTATTACTTCATCTAGTTTGTTGTACCAGCTTTAAGCCTTGGTGGTTCCTGGGGTGTTTCTGAACATGCTAACTAATTATCTCTTGTATTCTTCCAGACCTTGAAAAAGTGATGACATATCAGAATAACTTGCACTTATACACTACTGTTTGAACTAATGATGGAGAGATCTGCAGTTGTTGGCTCCAAGAAACCTTCCCAACTTATCCTTTTCCGATTTTTATTCAGTTCTTTTTACTTTCCCAATGTTGTGTTGGTCAACCAAATAGGTCCTGTCAAACAAATTTTTCTATTTCTATTTTTAATGCTGGCAAACAGAAACTACAAGTCGCATTTAATCATAATCACTAATCACAAGTTAATAGGCATTGTCCTTGTCAATTCGAAAGACACTGTTGCACTTTCAGCGCCACTTATTAAAATATTTAAGTGAGTGTATGTATATGTTTGATCCTGAATAATTCTGACTCTGTGTGGACTGGAGAAAATCTAAAAATAAATTCAAACTTGTTCAATCAAAATTTTTTTAGTAATTAAATATGTACACTGTACAATCACTCCACGCTGGAAAAAGAACAGTTCAAAGAAATCCTTGTTGCCATGACATTCATGTCCATGATGCGTGTATATACACACACTGTATATACTGTGTGTATATATCTTTGAGTCTATGAACAGGAAATAGATTTCCTGCATGTCGTCTTGACTTCTTTCCAAAATATTTCATCTTTCTACATTGCTTTAACAGTGAAAAGGTGCAATGTCAGCATCTATGCATTTAATATACATGTCTACTATACTGATAAAATAACAGTTTAACTTTTTACTGTATTGCACATTTTCAGCATAAATGGAAATACAGTGTTGACAGTAAAAACAGTTCTAAAGAACTTAAAAGGCAATATTTGGTTTAGGTAAGGTAAACCTTTATTCTTCAAACGTCCTCAACTTGCTTAGACAAGCTTCCATGCTATTTCTTTTGAAATGAAATGACTCTACAGGCTTCTTGAAGGACATTCAAAGCTTTGGATGTTAGCTGCCTTCTTTAAAATTCTCTGTCAAGGTAATCCCACACTGCTTAAATCATGTTGAAGTCTGGCTCTTCAACCCATGACAGATTATGTTCCATTGTGTGTTTTCTATTCAGTGCCTTTTGTGCATCAATAATGTTTTGACAGTGACGATGATCACTGACATAGCAATCAGATGAGTTCCAGATGATAGTGAATGATGGTTCATCTGATGTTACTTTTTTGCATTCGTAATTAAATGAATTTTGACAAGATTCCCAAACCATGACAAATCTTTCGCCAAGTTTTAGCAGTGGCTGTTGACACTCACTTCACAAGACCTGTTGCCACTGAGTTTGAGTCCAGTTCTTGTTTATTTTGGCACAGCAAATTAGCCTTTTCTTCCCGGATCCCCTCCTTAAAAATGGCTTTTTAACTGCCACACTCCCACTGAAACAATTTCTGATGAGACCTCAGGGAATAGAAGGGACAGATATATCTTTCATTCCCTTTGTCTTTTTTTTTCTTTCATGATTTCTTTCCCCATTTATTTAGGGCATGGCTTTCAGTTACTGTTTATCTGCAGTAGATATGTGTAGTTTTTTAGACCTGGCATGTTTTGTCCTCTACTTAACAAATTTCCTTAATTTTTTAGTGACACTCTCAGCACACTTTAACAGCACACTGAGATATGCCCCAAACCAACTAAAGTCACAGAGCAGGGTCAGTGGATTCTTAGGTGCATAGTACAGACCTCCAAACTTCATGTGGTCTTCAGATTAACTCAAGAACATTGCACAGACATCTTTAATGAAATGAAGAGCTGGACTCAGTTCCAGTGAAAGGAACTCTTAATGCTTCACCATACCAAGACATTTTGGACAATTTCATGTTCCTGACTTTGTGGGAACAGTTTGAGGATGTTTCCTTCCTGTTCGAACATGACTGCGCCCTAGTGCAAAAAGCAAGGTCCAAAAAGACATGGATGAGAGAGTTTGGCGTAAAAGAAGTTGACTTGCCTGCACAGACTCCTCACCTCAACCTGACTGAACACCTTTTGGAGGAATTAAAGAGTGGGAGCCAAACCTACTCCTCCAACTTTCTTGTCTGACCTCACAAACGCACTTGTGGAACGATGGTCAAAAATTTTCATAAACACAAATAAATTAAACCTTGTGGAATTAAAAATGGGATGCCTCTCAAGTTCATATGTGTGTGAAGGCAGATGAGTGAATAGTTTTGGCAATATACATTTAGTGTATGTGGAGGTGATTGGAGTGGTTTTAATGTTTGAAAATATCTATTTTTTTTATTATATACTTCACTTAGAATGTGGTAATCTGTAAATGAAAACACACAATTGGCGGGAAAATCAGTGAGCTACATAAAGTTGAAGGTTTACAAACGTTCCTACTATTCATTCTGAGGAAACATGACCATATATGTCATTTTTAAGCACAGTTCATCCCACCCCAGTTGTTGTCAAATCTCAATGAATGTGCCTGCTACCAGCATGCACCAGCATGGCAGCAAGTACTGTAATTCAAGTAGATAGTGAGATGATTCACAAGGACGCAAAAACTTGAATGCTTGCATAAAAGTTAGAGTTTATTCTCACCTCTTAGACCTACACTAAATGGCATTGCAGTTTCATCCAATATTTGTTTTGTCATTTCAAACCTGACCATCGTGAGTTGACAGTGTGAGTCATCTTTTAACAATAATAATTCATCATTTTCATTATCCACCTAAAATGGTCTGATTTCATTTATTCCATTTAGGGGAATTTCTTTGCTTCAACTTCTAGCTTTAGGTTCAAGATGGGCCAACATGAAGTTGTGGAAGTTTTGTTTTGTGAAACATGCTGTTAGGGAAAATTTTGTTATACTTCCTCTTAATTAAAAGTCTAGTTCCTGTATTTTGTGTGTGTGTGTGTACATGTTTAAACAGCTTTGTGATGGCAGAAAATTGGCATGCCACTATACTTGTGTGGATCTACAATTACTTATGGTGACAAAATGCCCATCCCCACTAGTTTGAAGGCATTTTTGAGGCTCAGAATGTGGTTATAGTATCAGAGTTACAATTAGGTTATGGTTAGGTTTAGGCTGAGGGTTAGGATTAGGCATTTGTTTTTGATGGGTAGGGTTAGGGTAAGCAGCTAGGGAAAGCATTATGTCAATTGAGATGTCCTCACTAAGATATGAAAGTACGCTCCTTAAAATAGGTTTTGCTTTGCAAAATGAAATCTTGCATATAACAGTAAAAATATTATTTTTCTTTGTTGTGTGCAGGAAATATGAAATACTATAAATGCACAGAACTCAAACTTTGTTTGAACTTTATTCATAAAACCAGAGACAGTGTGTGGTCACTCATATATGTATAAATATTTCTTTAGGGGAATTTCATGGAGCCAGATGATGTAAACTGTCATTTGATTTCTAACATTTGCTCATGGTCACATGCCGCATATCATCTTTTCTTCACATGTCTCACTACATATGTTAGTTTTAATTTCAGCATCATAGTGGTTAACTTAAAAACTTTCCGTTGAGGATCATCACATGCTCTGTGTTTAACCATAACTGCTTTCCCTTTCTATATAGCGAAGGTGGGTGTGACCACAAAAGGACCAACAGTTAATAGGTTTATAGACCTTTGGTCATTGCATCCAATTTTTCCAAAAATCAATTTTAAGTTACAAAAACCAAAACAAAACAGAAAAAAAAAATTCATTACAACTATAATGGATAATAATCTGTGCCTTTAAATGACAGACTTTTGCCCTCTGAAAGAAAAAAAATCTTTAGTCAGCATTAATTTGTTAAGTGAAGCAACAGTTAAAGTCTTTTTCTCTTGCTCAGACTTCCTTCTGCTTTGTGAGAATGATTGAATCGACGTCATGTCAGCAGACATGTTTGAGCTAGATGAGATTGCATCAGACTCAAGTCCAATAACAAATTTTGGCAGCTCACCCACTGTTGCTTCAGGAAATATCAATCGCATAAGTAATAAACTGACGATCGTGCCTTCCAAAATGACACCAATGTAATCTAGGGTGCCTAAAAGCCAAAGGTTCAGTGTCATCAGTTCTGGGAAAGGATTTTCTGTCTCTTTTTAGCATATATGCATTTTTTTTTACTATAATGTATATATGGCATGTGTACATGATCAGCATATTCACAGTATACCCACTGTTGAAATACAGCAGGTAGTTAGCTTTTCTTCTTAAGGACTGAGTGAAATTAAGTTGGCAGTTAATTACTGAGGAGGCAATTACCATCTCATATGGAAAAGAAATGAAATTCTTTAAAAATAAAAAATACTGTAGCTCTTATAAGACTTGATGAGAGATTGTGAGACTACATTTTACTTAGGAATTTAGCCACTTTTGCATTTCCCCCATTTTCACTTTGTGTTCTATGAAAACTATGCAAATTGGTAACTTTTATGATGACTGAGTATGTGAGAGACATGCCAACAAACTGAGGCTAACATTCATCAACCAGTCATTCAAAAATTACATTCAGGTGTAAATTATATTACATCTGTGAATCAGTCACCACTTGGTCAATCTTTAAGCTTCGTGCAAGAGCTGGTGCAATACAGGAATGCAGACGTAGTTGGTTAATGAAAAAAAAAAAATCTGAAGCATTCCTGTGGCATCAGTCAATTATCACAGTTTTAGTCACAGTGTTTTTCCACAAAGGTGATATATGTGACAAATCTTGCTGTCTTGATAAATCAGACTATTAGAGCCCTCAGTGTGAATTCCCACACCAGGTCTGAAAGTCCACTCTTGCGCAATCTGCAAGAAGTGAGTCATTTTCAGTTGGCTTTAAAAGCTGAGCCTCTTCAGTGCTAGAGTCAAACAGCAGAGCAGCTAAACTGAGAGAAGAGAGGAGACCGGGAGCTGAAAGAAAGACAAACAGACTAGAAGAAAAAACAAACAGCTGTTGCAGTTTAGCGCTTCAGGCTTCATCAGCTTTCAGAAGAACATTGTTATTTTTCATTGTTAGCTTTTACAGAATTTCTAAAAGGCAAAATGATAAGCAACAGAATCATTGTCAGCTCCATTGTGGTGCTTTTGACCCTGCTGGCCACCTGTGAAGGTATGTTGTTTTTTTGGGTTTTTTTTGGTCATTTAATGGCTTAATTTAGCATTAACAAGCAATTTTATTCATGCTATCCTTTTTCATTGCATTAAATGTTTTCAGCATGCACTTCATGAACATGTGCAACTGCTTTCTTCTTACAGGCATGGGAGTAGAACTGCACTGCCGTTGCATTCAGACAGAAAGCAAACCTATTGGCCGCCACATCGAGAAGGTGGAGTTGATTCTTCCCAACTCCCACTGCGAGGAGACGGAGATCATGTAAGAGCCAAAGTCTTCTTTCCATCTCAGTAGTGATAATTTTGCTTGATTTTGTCACTGTGATTTGTTGGCTTCAACACGAGTTCTCTATCTAAACTTTTGTGTTTTTTTCACTGATTTGTGTTGCAGTGCCACACTGAAAAAGACAGGTGAAGAGGTTTGCCTTAATCCTGAGGCCCCCTGGGTCAAGAAAGTGATCAACAAGATCATGTCCAGGTAAGATTTTACCTAAAAGTATGCCAACACAGCAGTCTTACTTTTAATAGGAAATAGAAACTAAGAAATTATCAAACAATGTTGGAATCCACTTTTGACACACAAATTAATTATTCTTTACTGTTTCTTGTCCAAGCAGCAGACCGTGAGCTGAAGAACTGAAG